GCGGGGTGACGTAGTGCGCACTGGGCCCTTACGGCCCCTACACACGGCGCCGTGCGTTGAAGCTTGCCGGCGGGCATGTCTGACGCTCGACCAACAACCAATCACATTAATCTCCCGCCCCGGACACACAAGCAGCGGTTTGATTGCCTAGAGCTTGTACTGGCATATGATTCGATTGGCTGACGCTTCCGTCGAAGCTTCAAAAGTAGAATATTGCTCTACTTTTGAAGCTACGCTTTGCTCCCACAATGCAGTTCGGCGAAGCGTGACGTCACCCCATTCAAAGTGAATGGGCAGAAGCGTTGAAGCTTCAACGCACGCCGCCGTGTGTAGGGGCCGTTACAGGGCTGGAGGGCTCGCCTCGCCTGCCTGGGGGCAGGGGGGGGAGAGCCCTCCACACTATAGTCTGTACACACTCTGCACGGGGTCAGTGTCTGAGTGTGGGGGGCCTGGGGGCACTTGCGCTCTCCCCGTGCTCCTTAGGGACTCGGGAGAGGTGGTGCATAGTGAACCCATACAGGGCTGGGGACTTTCTCTGTCTGCCTATAGGCAGACGGGGGGGGAGCCCTCAGCACTGTTTCCGAGCACACTTTTCGCGAGGTAAGCACGTCAAGGTGTGCTCTGTCAGCCGCAGCCCGGACTTCTCCACGGTTACAACCGAGGGAGAGGTGAGTGAGGCGCAGCGGCTACTAAAGCCGGTCAGGGACAGTGAGGTGGAACGGTGTGCTGGACGACAGTGCTGGACGACAGTGCGTGTATACATCGGTGCTGTGAGAGATATAACGGGGGGTTACGTATTGTAACCCTTGTTATATAAGCACAGGCGGAGCCCTCTACTCAGGGGCACTGTCTGTCCTATACCGCTCGCTGAAGAGAGGTGTAGGATGACGGTCAGGAGGCGAGGCCTCCTTTTATACGGAGGTGAGATGCGCACACATTCAGGTAGGCCCACCCCGGGGCCGGCTACGTCTATAGAAATCTCAGTAGGTGAATGCTTGCATGATAAGGTAGTACCCATAGAGTCCAGTAGAGGGCTTATATAACAAGGGTTACAATCATAGACTGTATATATAAATGGACGTAGGGTCCGTGACATCACCCATAGGATTCTGCAGAGTTGCCGAGAAGCCCTTAGTAGGCGGAGTCGGCCACTAACGGCTCGACAGTGGCGTCAGAGTTCCACTCCCGCCTGCTCCAGCCTGCTCCAAATAAGGGCAAAGAGGCGGAGCCGAGGCGGGACCTGCTGCCACCGGGCTGGAAGTTCCAGAGCTAGCTGAAGCTACCAAGCTAAGCTAACATGCTCCCCATCTGCACATTGCCGTCACATTTTACGTTTCTAAGGTAAGCGGACATGAGACTATTCAGCAAAACTATAAATAATAATCTAAGTTGAGTTTTTAGCATAATACTTCAGAATCTTAAAATCCCTTAACGTTTGTATGCAATTGTGCTAAATTAAACACTGGAATCAAGCAAATATTAATATGTTTGCATGACATTAGTTATTTATATTTTGCCATCACTTAATTATACGTTTAATACATTTAAGTTAAGCTAAGGTACATGTGATGATAGCTAGTTAGTGCTCTTACCTGTGAGGCCTCCTCCAAACAGCATTATAACCAGACTGTATCATTAAAACTACAAGTACCAGTTCTAGATCCTTGACTTTAGACAAACAATTCAAAAGACAAAATGTATTTAAAGACCAATCTTTATTTGAAGGTGCCTCTTAACCTGAAATATTAGTTATACAGTAATAGTATTGACAATCTTAAAAAACTGAGCAACTCAACAGTCAACTTTATATTTCTTATTGTCTAAAGCATTTATTATTTTCATTTTTCCCCTCTCATATTCAGTGTGGATGGATTGAGAGCGTGGTGTCCAGAGAGCTGCAGAGACTTCAGGGAGAAACCTCCGTGTGATGGACGTCCTGTCTGTTGGTTTGGAGAGGACTGAGGGTCTTTCCTCTGTGAGGAGGACCAGACCTGATGGAGGAGCCCATGCATAGCTAATACCACCTGATCAGGCCTAGTCTGTCACTTTATTTGACTAAATGTGTTTACTTATACATTTAATAGGTTTACACCTTCTGTCCATATGTGCTTTTTATTTAAAACATGTTTGATTAACTTTTGGTTCACATTTCAATAAATTGAATTTGTATTTGCACTCCTTTTGTCCATTATTCTTACTGAAAATGTTAGATTACACATTCACATCCGACTGAAGATTGGCCCCATTTATTTGCGTTGCAAACTCTGCGGTACAAGGTACATGTTGTGAAGCTCATGAAGTGAGGCAAATAGAAATAATCAGCTGATGGACTGTAGATGTGGAAATAGGTGCATTCGATCAGCTGACTGTGTTTTCACAATAAAAGTAGTTTCTTAGTGAATGTCCTGTACTGGTCTTAACATCTCATAACATCAGCTTTTAATTTTCCTATTGGATGTTTTTCTTGACCCTCGGAGAAAGAGGAGATGCTGAGTCGTGTCTTTCAGGCATGTCCTTTCCTAACAAAAATTACAGGAAACATAAAACATATTATTGCAGAACAAGTGTGTTATTTATGAAAGAGGTGTGTTTGTGTTTAGGGGCTGTAGATATAATTATTTTGTAATTGTAATGTTTTTTTTTATTTCAACAGTGAGCTACAAAGACAATCAGATTATGAATGAACAGTATGAAATTCATCAACATTGAAATGTATTTTATTATCAAAATAATATTGAACTGTTATTAAAACAAGCTTGCTCTGTTGTCTCACTGAAAGAATAACTTTTACCACGTTTTTAAAGACAATATTGAGAGATAAATAGCAGTTGTCACTATGCGTTAAATATCTTTGCCTTCAATACATTAAATTAGAAAGCTGACAGTCATATTGCTTGTTAACATCTAAATGTAACCCTTTGCATGGAAAAAACCCTCAACTTCACTGATGTGTAGGTGATCTAGTATTTAGTATTGTTTAATGGAATGTATAGCAGTGTATTAAAGTCAATACTTCATTTATTTAAACCAATATCTTTCTTGATTCTTTGTACAGTATGAAAAAAAGAGTATTTGTACCTGTGCTGAAGTTCACTGCTGTGAGGAGTCCAGTTCTGTCTCTCACTCTCTGGTCCATCCTGTCTGCATCACCTGCACACTTTAAACAAACAGATATATATGTAAAGTACCATGTGTACAAACAATATAACTTATTATCTTCTGTTGAACATGTTGGATTGTGTATTGTCCGAGTCAGGGTCCTTTTTATTTTACTGTAACTTTGGAAGTTGTGTTACCAATGCTTACGGTTTATTTGATACCAATTTGGTAATGCAATTAATAAAAACAACAAGGTTTGGGTTCGTTCTTCAGATGACTGTGATGTTAACGTGTAAGCTCAATAATGAACTCCAGCTCAACCAACCATATTGTAATATCTAAGTAATCATCTTGAAATATGACATTAATAATTGTAATATACACACATCTTATTGTGAGGTTGATTTCACATACACAACTTCGACGTTAGCTTGTCTACATACTTGAGCAGAGCCAATTTAAATTAACCTTAGCGATGCATACAGTTCCTACCTACATAATAAAATATCTCTCTAAGTTACAAGGATGACCTTATTTTATCAACCTCAAACAGAAGCCTTTTGTTCTACAGTATTATCCCACTTAACGCTTAACACTTGTCTATTTCGTTTTAACCTTTATATATACAGTCTATGGTTTTAAGTTAACTTGGAGGCTAAGATTAGCATCGTTAGCACCGATGTAGCTACCACTTGCTTACACGCTAACCCAAGCCTTAACATTCATTACGTAGCTGATTGAAATCATAAACACATAAATAAAGTACTCGAATTTCACTTACCGCAAAACCGCATTCATGCACCGTCTGTTTTAACCGCAGAGCGAGTCACAATAGTCCGATATATAAGCATGAAGAACAAACAAACACGGCCGGGGTCAAGTTGTGTTCCCTGGATGAACTGAGCAGGCAGAGTCCCTGTAGCTTCACGGAGACGGAGCAGCTAGCAGAGAGACAAGAAGCTAACAGCAGCAGTCACTTGACAGAGCTGTCACTCAATGTGACCACGCCCTAATTTATGCAAAAACTTTAAGACCTAATATAAATAAAAGGGTCATGTTAGAAAACAATTCACTCACAGATTCATAATCATGAAGGTGGAATCTAACTATATACATAATAATATTTATTGCATCCAGGGCTAGAAACGTTTTTTTTCTGCTGTGAAATTGGGCATTTTAACATGGGGGTCTATGGAAATTGCTCCTTTCTGCAGTCATCGCCTATCGGCCAATATATGAACTGCAGTTTGTGGCACTTCCGTATTGGCGTCCTGGCTCTTCCCCAGAGTTTGCCGCTTGGTTACAATACGTAACCCCCCGTTTTAGCTTTAAAGTGATAACCAGGTTATTATACAAATCAAAGTAGAATCAATCACAATTCTACACTATATATACCCAAAAAGATTTTTTTTATTTATGCTATGATAAACTATAATATTTTAATCCATTTATACCATTGAATACATATTTCTTGGACTCAAATATATGGTTATATATTGTCTAAAACTAATATTAATATCAGTGTAAAAACGCCATTATACATTTTGAATCATCATTGAATTCTTGGTAAACTTATTGATTATGTATGGAAAATTAAAACCGAAATGTAAAAAAAAGGGTTAGAAACTAAATGTTCCCCTTTTTTCACTGGATTTCTTCATGTGAATTAAAAGAATATATATCAGCAAACTGATGAACTTAACATTCTTTTAATATGATATATATTAATAATATGATTGTGGTTTATTTATGCCAATAAAAAAAAATATATATTATTTTTATGTTTTGTTTCTCTGTGTCCTTTTTATTGAGTTCACGTCTGCAATGATTATAAACGTTTTATCAATTTTCTTTTTTTTTAAAGGAGACTTTTTGCTGTTCCTTTATGTTTTCTCGTGCAGCGGGAAGATGGGCACGGTTGGAGCAGTGGCAGTGGATTCGGAGGGCAACATCTCCTGCGCCACCTCCACCGGGGGGATGCTGAACAAGATGGAGGGCCGGGTGGGCGACACACCCTGCATAGGTCAGTCCTCACACTAACCGTCTGGAGTTAACCTTTAAGAGCGAGCACGAGATCTATTGACGTCAATATCGCACCAAACAGATTGGAAGGTGTTTTTTTAGACTAATCATTCTCCAGCAGCTGACCTTTGACCTGCAGAAGTTGTTTGTTAGTTAGTGAAAAATGTCTGCTTAGTTAATTATTGACTATGAGCATTGTGTCTGATAGCCTATTGTTCAATACTGCTGACACATGTTGCATTGGGATTATTCTGTAGACAAAACGTCCAGTTGTCCGTGGGTCAAATTTGACCCGTTGCTAAATTATTTTACATCAGTGTCACGGAGTTTCAGAGGTGATTAATAAACAGCTTCAGGTGGATTTTGGCCTCTTCAGACATGTCTAGCTTACTATACTGTCACAACCGCTTGACAATCAGACATTGCAATGAGATGAAAATGACAAAAACGTCAAATTGTCCCTGCAGGGTCTGGAGGTTACGCTGACGACCAGGTGGGGGCAGTGTCGACCACAGGCCACGGAGAAGCCATCATGAAGGTGACTCTGGCCAGACTCATCCTCTTCCACATGGAGCAAGGTAACACACTCTGGATTTCTGCAGTGACGAAAGAGTGCCTATAACCAGGCAATTTCTGCAAATAATTAAATTAGTGTGGCTTGAATTACTGCTCTGGCCAGGGATTGTTAATGTTTGTTTAAAAAACAAAACATGAGGCCTATGGTTTCATTTTAACATTGGGAAGGACAAATATAAAGTGGGGAGTGTGGGGCTCCTTCACTGGGAAATATTTAAGGTTTAACTCTTCATTTGCTGTTTTGTGATTGGTTTATGCACCAATTCATGGCGGAAACATCTTTATTTATGTCATTTTAATTCAAATCTATTAAAAAATTTGAATTAATTATGGTTAGGCTCTAGGAAATGTTTTTTCAAATATTATTGTTGTCACTTCAACAGGAAACATGTTGCAAACATATATGTTGTGGGGCAGTTTTATTACAAAAGTACAATACAACACCATCATATCTCTCTTAGGTGTTTTGATCTCCACTCCACTCTTTCTATTGTTGTTGCGCTGATGTACACTAGTTGACCCCTGACCTGTTAATGAGCACTTGATTCAGAACCTTTTTTCCTCTCTCCTCTGCTCTCAGGTCAGTCCGTGGAGGCTGCCAGTGACTTAGGCCTGGCCTACATGAAGTCCAGAGTCAGTGGTCTGGGGGGTGTTGTGTCGGTGGACCCTCAGGGCCACTGGGCTGCTCGCTTCTCCAGCCTGCAGATGTCCTGGGCTGCAGCGCAGACAGAGACCCTGCACTACGGCCTGTACGCTGGGGAGCACTTCACCCAGAGCCTGGGGGGGCCCCTCTGACAGGAAGTACAGCACATATAGCTTCTAAATCTTTAGGCTGAGCATGCACTGAATAAACAATATTTTAACTTTAACATTATGAATAATAGTATATTTCAGTATTGATTAATATTTTTTATAAATATTTTTTATCTTTTATTTTGTGATAATACTCAGTGAAGATGGAAAGCTAAATTTGGTGTAATCATCTCATCATCTAAATCAGGGGTCGGCAACCCCTGGCACGCGTGCCAGCATTGGCACGCGGCACCGTAACCAGTGGCACACTAGGAATAAGTCGAATAAGTGTGCAAAATATTTAAATTGTATTTTCGGATCCTGAACGAGACCGCCGCCAGAGCGCGTCTCCCCGTTACCTGCAGAAGGAAGCCATGCACGCAACGCAGCCCCGCTCTGTTTAACTCCAGGTGACTTTCTGCCGCTTTATTCCGTGGTGCAGGGCTGTACCAATTGCAGTACCCATAAGGAGCTTTACAAATGCCGCAGTTTTTGCGTGGCTGTGTCTTTAGTTGAAAGCCCAGTGGCGATCTGCTCATCTCTCATTGAAATAATATGCTACAAAGGGGGCGGACTGGCCATCTGTGTGTTTCCTGTCGGCTCCCAGACCGTAGTCGAGGAGGGCAGAAGCAACAAGCTTCAGGTTCAATAACCCACTTTAGCTTAAATGACTGGAGAGAGGCGAGCTCTTCTGGGGAGGCCGTTGCATTTATTTAGCTGTTCTTCTGTTTCACAAAATACATCACAGACCTCTGTTTTTCTGCTGCCTCGTTTCACTTCCAGAAACATACACACACACGCTCCCTCACTGTCGCTCTACCATCCACACACACACATGCACACGCCACACCCCTCTCTCTCTCTCTCTCTTAAAGGGACAGCGATCTCATCTCACTCTGCCTGACCCTAATATCATAACATGTGTGTTCTGGAGAATCACAGAACGGACGATCGTCCTTATTATTATGCCGATTAAACCAATTTAATTAAATGTGTTTGTTAAATTCGGCATCATGTAAGTTGTGCTGACAGGTACACACACACACTGCTTCCCCGCAGCGAGGCTCCCCCCGCCCTCCTGTTGATAGTTCACCAGTGTCAAGCTCCTCAAACCCCCCCCCCCCCTCCGTTGATAATTCTCGATCGTTGGCACGCTGATAACAATTTTTTTTAATGGCACTTCATATCAAAAAGGTTGCCGACCCCTGATCTAAATCATCTTCTCTTTCAATATGAAACTTTCGCCATGCAGCAGTGACAATAACTGCAGTTCACCCAATGGCCACTTGAGGCGGGCTTGAGTGATCTGCATAGACCTCCATGTAAAGAAGCTAAACTTTAGAGCAGAAATAGCCTGGTGCCAAACATGGTTTTGGTATCTAAAGCTAATGAAGAGTTTTTTTATTTAACTCTTGCACACCGTCCAGTTGCACTCAAGTATTAACTGATGAAAATGTTGTGGTCAAAATATGATATCCCATGCTTGCCTCGAGATCATTTCTTCAAATTTGACCCAACTGTCCACCAGACTCAAGGATTAACTGATTAGAATTTTGCGGTCAAAGATCAAGGTAACTGTGGCGTCACAAATCATGTCTTTGGCCATAGCAAGAATCAAGAATTAATACATGTAATATTAGAATTTCCTTCAAATGTCTTGTGGTGACATTTTAGACAAATAAATCTAAACTGCTACTTGGCTGGTTGGCTTACAACCACAAAGTGTTAATTCCAGTGTTCTGCATGGTCATATGTTATAAAGTCTTATAATAATTATGTTTCCAAATAGGCTTTTGCCAAGATTATGCCTTTTATCATGGAAGAATGTGAGTGTTACGTTACGGCCCGTCCACACGGCGGCGTGCGTTGAAGCTTCAACGCGTCTGCCCATTCACTTTGAATGGGGTGACGTCACGCTTTGCCGAACTGCATTGTGGTTCCGCTGCTCGCTTCAAAAGTTGAGCAATGTTCAACTTTTGAAGCTTCGGCGGAAGCGTCAGCCAATCAAATCATATGCCAGTACAAGCTCTAGCCAATCAAACCGCGTGCTTGTGTGTCCGGGGCGGGAGATTCATGTGATTGGTTGTTGATCGAGTTTCAGACAAGCTCACCGGTAAGCTTCAACGCACGCCGCCGTGTGGACGCTGCGTAAGCTCCGTAACATGTCAAAGTGTTCTTGGGCAACATACTAAACCCCACCCAAAATTGCTCCTCAAGGCATGTCAACAGTATTGAAGGGAATGTAAGTAGCTTGGTATAAAAGCTAAAGGACATCATGTGAAGTCATTTGTTTTTTTTAACGACAGAGTATTCATGGGAGGTTTTTGTACTGTAAGGTGAATCGTTGCCATCACTCCAGCATTTGAACCAGAGCCAGTGTTTGTGATATTCAATGCTGGAGCTTCCTGCTATGAAAACACAGATTTGAAAATAAATGCCTTTAATCCCTGACCATTGTGAGTTTCATGCTTCATTTACCCATTGAGTCTGTGTGTAGAAGTGCACTCATGTGTTAAACTCAGCCTGTATGTGTTTATTTTTTGGATCCACTAGATGGTGCTGTTGAAATACAAGTCAACACCACACTCGCACTTTTTACAGATTTTAGGCTTCAAGTTCATCTTTGCTGAGCAATTTTATAAATAAACTCTTGTTGCTATTTCAATCTTGTCCTTGAGCTGGAACCCACAGATATATAGATATTATATAAGAGACTATAGTGGTTATTTGGGTTATTGTTGCCTTTCTATCTTCTTGACCAGTCTGGCATTCTCCTCTGACCTCTGGCATCAACAAGGCATTTCATCCAGAGATGTGCTGCTCTCTGGATATTTTCTATTTTTCATAGCATTCTCTGTAAACCCTAGAGATGGTTGTGTGTTAAAATCCCAGTAGATCAGCAGTTTGCGAAATACTCACACCAGCCCGTCTGGCACCAACAACCATGCCACGTTCAAAGTCACTTAAATCACCTTTCTTCCCCATTCTGATGCTCAGTTTGAACTTCAGCAGGTCGCCTGACCATGTCTACATGTCTAAATGCATTGAGTTGCTGCCATGTGATTGGCTGATTATATATTTGCGTTAAAGAGCAGTTGAACAGGTGTACCTAATAAAGTGGCCAGTGAGTATATATAGGTCAAAGAGACATGCAAACGAGTGGTTGTTGTTTTTAACAACTGAAACAATATTAATTTAACTTAATTTACACGTAATTACTTTACTTGCTGCACCTAGTTGACCACTGAGATTATAATCAAGATGTCATCCTGTTTTATAACATTATTAATTTCCTCTTCTCGTCTGGAGTCCATCTCCTCAACATATTCTGAGCTTTCTCCTCTGTTCTCTGACACCTCTGACAGATCAGTGAAATTTGACCCGCTCCTCTCCTCCCTCCCTTTGTCTCTCTGCTGCCGTGTTTGCATTCTCATGTATACGAAACACACATTTGCTTACACACACAAACACTACCTCTCTAAAATCCCATGGTGTCTTCAGTAAAATATTGTACATTGCCTTGCCAGTTTATATTACCTCGATCCAATGACTGTTTCAGTGAATAAAAAACAATAAAATACCTAAACCGCAAATGTTTAATGACATTACTGCATGTACATTACTCTGCCATGAACCATAGTTATTGTTTGTCACGTTTGGATCAGATGCGAACCAACAGTAAAACTAGAAACTGTGAGAGGGAGCTCCTCTGTAGGTCACACAACCCTGCTGCTTTGAGTGTCAACTGTCTTACCTAACCCCCCGTCCTTAAGGTGCTTTGAGTACAAACACTTTTTTTACAGACATTTTATCCGCATCCAGATCCTCATACCAGCAGCTTTCTCTCCTTCTGTGTACCCTAAACAAAGTAATAATGAGGGTCGTGGAAAAAGCAAACAGCATTTAAGTGTTCTGTCCTTTCAGTTTGAAAGCATGAAATGTGTGTGTGTGTGCATTCTTGTCTATAATATAAAAAGAGTATATGTGAGAGTAGTAGTTTGACTTTTCACACCCCTGAGAGTGAGGAAATGTTGGTGCAGTGAGGACATTTGGGTCGACTGCCTCCTTCAAGGGGCCAGCTCAGGGTTAGTTTGTGATCGTCCGGGGTTACCCAGACAGCATGCAGCGCGCGGACAAAAGCTCTCCAACCCTGAAGGCTCACAGTGGACCGTGGCCAACTTGGCATTTGTTTATCGTGGTATGAGACGGCGATGTCAGGATATAGGAGAAAAGGGGACTTTTTCATCAAAGGTCCCCAGCTGGATTTGGACCAGGGTTGTTGTTTATGGTCAACGTCTTAAGCCATGACTGTCAGCTTCTTTGATATTTACAATTCATGAATTTTATAAAGAAAATATAACTATTTTCCGGACACAGCTCCAACTACCCCAGTTGATGATTTGCTCTCTGACAACACAAATAAAAGATGTTACACTCGACTCTTTCAGTGCGACAAACGCCCAGTCAGCAAGCTAGCTAGCTTTAGCAACGTTATCTCACGGTACCAAATATTCACAGACTGCTAAAAAAAAACATTAAAATTACAGCTGGCATCGATTCAATACTAGTATAACGGTACGATTATTAAATATTGAAAAAAAACAACCCCGTATTTATAAGTTATTTTTGTATAATGTTGTAGCCTATTTACCGCATCAACCGCACAACTTATGTACATAGCCAAGATGGCAATGAGTTTCATTGTCCAGCGTTCCAAATAACTTAAACAATTAAATGTACACAAATCTTGACCCCATCTGTGATAAATATAAATCAATGCCAGCCACTTTAATTCAAATGTGTTAGCCATGCCTGTCTACATGGATTTTGAGGGTTCCATTTGTAATGAACAAAGCCTTATGGTGCTGTTCTTATATTCAATATTTAGGTACATTTCAGGTTCATGGTTAATTGTGGGTGTAGCCTACTGGTTCCAAATCTTTTAATTGGAGGTCAGAGTTTTGTTTAGGATTTGGGGTCAAGTGAGGCTCTTGTGAGCGAGAGGTGTGCCCTTTTACATAACCAACACTACAAGCCAGAGAATGTCTGCACATAAAAGGAGACGTACTATTGAAAC